TTGTCCTTGTATATGTAGATGATATTATCATCTCAGGCAATGACACAACATGTATTCAATCGACTAAAGAGTTTATTAAATCTGTTTTTGACATTAAGGATCTTGGAGCACTAAAGTACTTTCTAGGGATAGAAGTGTGGCGATTAGAAGATGGCCTTTTCTTATCTCAAAGAAAGTACACCCTTGATATCTTGAGTGATACAGGTTTTATGGAGGCAAAGTCAGTTAAGACTCCACTTGAAGATGGTTACAAGGTCCATCGAAAGGGGAGAAACCAGAAGAGCCGTTTGAAGACATATCCCTATACCTTAAGATTGTGGGTAAGTTGATTTATTTAACACTCACTAGACCTGATCTGTGCTCTGCTGTGAATCAGGTGAGCCAACACATGCAAAATCCCACTGTTTACCATTGGAGCATGGTGTAAAGGATCCTTAGATACCTCAGAGGCTCATCGGGTCAAGGCATATGGATGGGAAATAATGATAGCACCGAGATAGTTGGATATTGTGATGCTGATTGGGCTGGAGATAGGAATGATAGAAAGTCTACAACCGTGTATTGCACTTTCATTGGAGGGAATCTGGTGACTTGGAAATCAAAGAAGTAGAAGGTGGTATCTGACTCAAGTGCTGAATTAGAATACCAAGCCATGAAGAAGCTTGCCAATGAGCTTACTTGGCTCAAAGCCTTACTCAAAGACCTCAACATCGAGACTCCAGGTCCCATTACCATTCATTGTGACAATCAGGCGGCCATTCACATCAAAAAAAACAGCCTTCCATGAGAGGACCAAGCAAATTGAGATAGATTGCCACAAGGTCCGACACAAGATTGAAGAAGGAGTTATACTCCCATGTTTTACGAGAAGTGAAGATCAGATGGCTGACATCTTCACCAAAGCTGCAAGACTCAAAGTCTGTGAGCACATCTACAGCAAGCTGGGACTTGTAGACATCACTCAAGCTTGACCCAAGCTCCCTGACCCGTAAAACATTATACTCTTTTTCCTTGGCATAGTTTTTATCTCATGAGGTTTTTTTATGTCAAGGTGTTAATGAGGTAATGGGTTATGGGTCTTCAAACTTAGTACTACATTCTAAGCTTGAGGGGGAGTATTGAGCAGACCCATAATAACCTTAGACATTGTATGAGCTCGGTATGATCTTTGTAAGGAATACTTAGGTGCTAAGTCGTATAATGGGCTCAGGTCTTTATCAAGATTCAATAAGGGGCTTTGAGGCCCAAGTTGATATGTGTGTCTGCGTATAGAAGACAGAAAAAAGGAGCAAAAGAACCGTTAAAGTCAAAGAGAAAGAGTCGTTGGAGTTAAAGTGCAACATGTGACCTTAGCTGTATCCAAGACTAAGGTCACGTCACTTTCAGGCATTTAAAGCCTTTGTCTGTACCCATATTGTCTCGTGTGGAGACAAAAAATATCTTGTTGCTTTTAAAATTCCTCTTGTCTATCTATATAAAGATATATCATTGTAACCTTGGAACATACATTAATGGAGACTTTTATTCTCTTCATCTCTCTTCTCGCTTTTCATTTCTGCAATATTATCACTCTGTTTTTCAAATTCTAACATTCCCCGCCATGTATCACCTGAATCAAATGGTAGTACCAGGAATCAATCCAACAACAGGTCAGCAGCAAAGTGTTTGTTTGCTATTCTTGTTTGTTGTCTGCTTTACCATGGAGTTGCTTGCAGTTGATCTGAGCCTGCTTTTGTCTTACTCTAAAGAGGCCGCTTAACCAGTGTTTCCCAAGTAGGCAAGATAGAGACGGACCATCAGAACTCCAATCATTTTCAGACTCACTAAAATCCCGATTAAATGCCTTCTCAACGAGGTAAATCCCATCTCTACCAACTTGGGCTGTGTAAGCTTTGATCAACTCTGAATCCATTCTTGATGCAATTGATAGTACAAAAAACAATATTAAGGAACACAAGAAGCTGTAAGGATAGGTTTTTCTCTCATGGCATGTTAGTGGAAGATCTTGGCTCAGAAGTTGGAAGAGAGGGTAATGCTGGAATTGCCACGATGTCGTGTATGATGGACGTCTGGAAACAAGAGAAAACAGTGGATAAAGACTGTATCTGTATCAGATAACTCAGCAAATAGTACTCCAAGTGAATCAAACAATGAGCATAGATCAGAGTCTAATGATGACCATTTTGTGAGTGAAAGGTGTTCAGGGAGTGTGTTCTGCTAGTTCTGGCTCAAGCTGAGCTGCATTCTCAGAATCTGCATCAGCGATAGCATCTTCATTTGTGAAGGTTAGTTAACTTTGATCCCCTTGATATAGTGGAGTTTAGTTTAAGAATTGTTGTGTCCTTGACGGTTTTTCACAATAAAGTAGTTGCTTTACTCAGCTTTGATGAGCTTTTCTCGTTTACTCACATTTTTTCAAATCGGAAGTAACAAAATTATGAAAAATGTGATCCATCCCCTGAGGTAATAAATTGTAAGTAACAATCGCTTATGAACTTCTTTTACTTAAGATCTTTTTGTCTTTCAGTTTGAGCAGAGACAAGAAGATGATATACTTAGAAGTCACTGGTTGTGTTCTTTTCCATAAAGAAGTCATTGATGATTGAATGCTTAAAGGATCTCTCAACCATGAGGCAGGAGCCTCTTTGTGAAGTGCATTGACATACTCATAATTTTATAGGTTTTAGCATGCATTTTACTTAAGATTTTGTGTCTCATGCATGCATTCTTATAGTTTTCTTAGTGTTTTTGTCCAAATTGTGTCATTATAGGTTTTGCATTAGGTCCTAGTGTGTCTATGCATGTTTGGAGTGTTATTAGGTGCTTTTGTAGATTAAAAGAGACATGGAGACAATTGGGATCGGAGCCAGTGCATGACAAGAAAAGGAGATGCATTACCTCTGCCGATGCATCTCAAAGATCAGTAAGATCGAGGATTTCAACACAGAACTGGCCTTCCAGCTTATCATAAAGGTTGTAGGTAGTCTAGCTACCTTTCCATTGCAGTTAAAAGAAAGTTATTCTGATCGGTGGTCAGGAAGTTACACCCAATAAAACATAAGCATGTCTCTCAGCCAAAACTCGGATCAAGCCAATGCAACTACAAGATCGAGCTGAATGGAAAGCGTACACACCGATCCAGCCCTGGAATTCTTCCTAATATTTGTTTACAATTGAGTTTCCTTTACAATGGAAGTGGTCTCGAGTTATTCTGACCAGTTGCTCGAAAGTTATGACTGAATGAGCATGAAGATACCCGTCTTTTGGTTACATGCCAAGGGTCAGTGTCTGGCCTTGCTTCCGCCGGTGATCAGGAAGTGCTTCACCTGGGAATCAGCCTTGGAACACTTTCAAGTCGACACAAGAAGCAGGTGCAAGTGATGAACTCCTCAAGAATCTGCACCGGGACACATCCAAGCCAGTTCACAGACCAGTGCAAGTTGCGAATACACCAAGATTCTGCCTTGGTCATTTGCCTTGGTCAAGAAGGGACCCAGTGCAGCTTGCCTCAGTCACTGCCTAGGCTCCTCTAACCCAGTGCAGCACTCAATTCACATGTTCTCCATTTGCCTCGGCCACTACCTCGACTCAGATCATACCCGGTGCAACATCAAACACTTCACCTCAGTTAGCACCCCGGGTTTGAAACAGACCAGTGCAGCCTGCGAACACACCAAAATCTTGCACCGGTCTACTTTCTCGGGTGGTCTAACTCGGTGCAGACCAGTCTTGACCCTGTTGGAGCCGGGTCAGGATCCAATTTGTCCTGAGCTGACCTGGTTCGCCCACACTTAGTATATATATGTTTTTAACCTAATTTTGCAAGATATCTTTCATTCTCTTTAGTTTCCTTTCTTTTTTGGTGAAAGAAATAACCTGTGTAAGAGATATCCCTTGTGTTATTTCAATTTAATTTGGTTTCTTATCATCTTTCTTCTTTCCTTAATTATTAATCATGCTTAACATCACTTTTTGCAAAGAAAATAGTATGTTAAGTATGATTAGTGAGTATTCTTTCATTAAGCTTTTGGTATGTAGATTATGATGTTTAGATGCTAGATTGTGATGTTTAGGTGCTCGATTCTACTTTTCCTATTCTTATTTGGTTGTTCTCTATGCTAGATCTTTCACAATTAGCTTGATCTAGACCGAAGGCATTTTCCATCCAGAAAGTGTTTAATGATATGCCTGAAAGAGCCATTTAAGATTTTAATGTTTTGATCACATGAGAATGCTTGTTTGAAGATTAAATGGCATGTTAGATCTGATTCTTTATGATTTCTGATTATTGTTGCACTATTGAGAGTTAGGTTTGCTAATGATGATTTGAAATGTGATTAATGTCTTAAGAAATGATTAGTTTTGTTTAAGAGTTTTAAGTTAAAAAGAAATTGTATTTTTTGAATACTTTAGTATCATAAAGTAGTATTGAATCAATTATCACACCTAGAGGCTTAGCTTTTTATATATTTGAATCTATCTTTGTTAAGTTGTTAGTTGTTTTTTTTTTTGTTAACCACTTTGCTTGTTTAGTTTTAATCATTTGGTCTTGTTTAATCACAACACCATCTTGTTCATTTGGATTAAGCTAGTTTTTTTTATAACTTTAGTGTTTAAATCTTCATTTGGATGAACTTGTTAAGGAATTGATCTAAGAAATATCCTTTTATCATGCATACATAAAACTAAAGGAAGATACCATAGAAGAGAGAAAATTGTGGGGTTGTTTGTCTATTACCAATTTCTCTTCTGTGTATGTTATTATATTACTAATAATTGTTGTTTCTTCAGCTTCTTGCATGCCAAATCAAATTCACGACAAATATATATATATATATATACTAAGAATAAATTTAGTGGGTAATGAATATTCTGTAGTATTGTTGATTCTTTAAGGTTAAGCTTTGTTTATCTGATAGAATCGAGTCTTGTCGGTGTCTAACCGTTGCTTTTCCTGACTCATTAGAGCAGAAAGATTGATCTGTGTTTTACTGTAGATCAAAGTCAAGCATCTTTATTTGGACACCACACAAGCATAGGAGAGAGTTTTAACAAAGTCAGTACATATTTACAACAGAAAACTTAACTAGCAGAGACCGTGGAAAATAACGTGATCTTAAATTTGAAGCTGATGCAAGATAGTTGCTTGCCATTCTTGTCGTTCATCGTCATCTTAAGCGTGTAAGTGCCCTGTTTCAAAGAGACGTATTGTTAGATCAAGGAAGCCAAATCTTGACCTAGCTGATTATGATGGGAAACTGAGTCTTAAGACAAATAGGAAGCATATCTCAAACCATTTGTCAAATGAACATAACCAACATATCCTTAAGTTCAAGCGTTGAGATAAAAACCAAGATATGGTCAAAAGGAAATGAACAATCACATTGTTAGGAGATCTTACGGGTGGTGTAAATACAGGCAAAGTTTGGGAATGAGAAAGGACGAAGCTGCCTGGTGCGATCGGGCAGGAAGTCTCATTGCAGAGGTCATGAGTTTCGGTATGGATATGAACCCCAACGAATGAAACGCTGATCACTACTTTTCCTCCAGAGATGTCTTCATCTAATTCACAACAACACACAAGATTTTATCAAGGAATGCACAAGATTATGTTTCTAACTTTTCAATAATATAAATAGAAGCAGGAAGATCATAATTACCAGTAGAACCCGATATCTTAAATGTTGCGGGTTTGCCACTCACTACGGGGTCAGGAGAGATCTCCACACCCTTGACCTTAACGGGATCGAGCCTCTTATCTATAACAGTCGCAAGTACAGAGCAAAATCCAGTTCAGCATAAGCAAAGTAAAAGACTAGTAGTATCATGCAGATAAACAGAGAAGAGTAAAGTATACATCACTGATAAAGAAACATGAAAATTTGAAATGTAAAAAAAAAAAAAATTAACCTTTATGTAATTGCATAACCAAGAACAGAAAATAACTTGTATTTAACAGTCGCAAAAAAAAACAACTTGTATTTAACAAATATTTTTAAAAATCCCTATTTTCTTGCAAGCAATTGATGAAAGGGTAAATGAAGCACTCTACAAACAAACTTTTAGCATCTATGAAACTGATTTTCACATGCATCAAGAGCGAAACAGAAAAAAAAAAAATTAGTTTTTTGCAAGAATTGATTAAACCAGAGTCATATCATTTTGTACCCTCAAATTGAAAGTAGCAGATCGGAGTAGGCTCTAAATTCAAGGTCAATAACCAAAATTCAGAGTAAAATATGCAATATTTAAGGTTATGTGATGAGTCTTAACCATATTTGTTACTTAAAAGAGGAAGAAGAGAGTTTGGGTACAAACCGCAGGAGCGGAAAGAAGTGGCCAGCAGAGAAGGTAAGAGGAAGAGTGTGAACAGGAGAAGAAGCAGAGGATGAGCGTGAGAAATTGCCATGGATGATGAGTGATTTGCAGATGGCGAAGAAGGAATTGTGATTTGATGAAGATGACGAGATGAAGCTCGTCGATTTTACAGGTGTCGAAAGAGTTTGGTAAGTAGATATGGAATTTAACGGTTTCCTGAATACACCGAACCATCCAACGGTTGCAGATTTTAGCTACATTTAAAAACATATATATTTTGACTTTTTCAATAATTTTTTTTTGATTTTCAATAGAACTCTTGGTTGGCAAATCAGTTGCTTATTATAAGAGACTAAATGAATATCTGCATATATATATGTATGCGGATTTTTTTGTTAAAATATTTTTTAATTTGATAAATTAGTTAATGCTTAATAATAAAAAAATTTCAATCATTCCTGTTACATAAAAATTAAAAATTGAAGTAAGAAAAGTTTTCTCTTCCATTATCTTTAAAATATTATTTTTCAAAATTCGCATCATTATTTTTTTATGAAAATTTCATTTGGTCTCGAAACATATTCGTACATGAAAAAAATGATACAATTACAAATTTAGATCAATTTTTTCTTCACCATTTTAAAAGAACACACTAATATTAATGTATATCTGTGTGAAGGTGTCAAGTTTTACCTTAAATAAAATCAATAGCCACAAAATACACCGTTGATCGATTGTAATACTTAGGGATCGAATCCACAGGGAAGGAAGGAAGTCTAGAATCAAAAAAAATTTATAATGGTTTTGGTAGTATCTTTAAAACGTAAAAACTAATCAACGAGAAATTACGGGAATTAAAATGACCTAATAACTAAACTTAATGAAATCGACTAAAAACGAGAAAAACGGCTAAACCTAATTGCTTAAATGAAAATCAATTAAGAGAATGAAAATAATGAACTAAAGCTTGAAATAAAATCGATGTAAATCTATAGGAAAGAAGGCGCTGGGTTTCAGAGAAGTTTTCTCTGGGGTATGAACGATTCAAAACATTGTTAGAAAGTAAATTAGATAAGATCTTAGCTTAAACTTTTCGAACTAGAGTCACGGACGTATGAATACGCCACTATCGTGATCATAGACAACTATCTCTCTTAACCCTGACCAGTAGGTTTCCACTCTGACCCTCGAAAAGAAAAGATGCATTATATTTAAGACTCGTCAGCATTCACAAATTGCCCATAGGTAGGTTTCCACTCCTATGTTTGTTTTGCTCTCCCAAACTAGATCTGACACCGGATGAACACGTTCGTGTCACCAAGCATCTGGATCAGATTGTAGTTTATGACACTACTCTCATGCAGTAAAAATAAATTCAGAAGAAAAAGTTCTAAGATTCGGCTTCAATAGCTCATGGAATCCTCATCGAACATATATATCCCCACCAAAAATCCCTTAGACGCAACAATAAAACTACTCAGACATGATGAACGAAATCAAAAACATAGTATTAAAAAGTAGAGCAATAATCAAAATTGAAAAAGAAATAACAAGGGTTCAAGAGACAAATCTCTCTCTCCCTAAACCTAAAAACAAAAGCTTAAAGTAAAATTTCTTCTAAAATATTTTGTCTCTCCTAAAAACGACCTAAATGATAAGTATTTATAGTCTCCAATGCTCTCTGGTGTCTAGGGTTCCGGAATTGAGGCTGAGAAAATGATTTGGGCTTCAGAAATGGGCCTTCAAGTTCGGAGATGGCTGGCCGCGGTCGGGAAGTGCGTGACCGCGGGGAATAGGTGTTTGGCCGCGGTCGGGAAGCCTCTAACCCTGGTGAAATGGCTGTTGGTCGTGGGTGGAAATGCTTGCCGGCTGGTTTACGGGACATCTTGCTCTTGCGTATCTTTTGATTGAACCGTTAGATTGCCAAGCTGTAAAGTGTGCTGGAAAGCTGATACTTCCATCTTTGGGATCTCCAAATTTGAGCTGGCTCAGACGGTGAGAAGGCCTTCAATCGGGGGTGAACTTCTGACGGTTTGACTCTGAGCTGAAAATCTGGTTTTCTATCCATTTTGTTAAGTTTTTCCCTAAGTTTCCAGAAAAGAGTCTTGGAACTACAAATACTAGAAAAACGTAATAAAAGTACTTGAAAACAATAAAAACATAGAAAAAGTAGTTCAAAACGATCCATAAAAGTGGTCAAAATACGGTGTTATCACACACACATCAAACTAAGTAAATTAACCAACAATGAATTAATTTCTTCCACGACTGTCTCTCTCACTTGTTTGTCCTAGCCGCTTTAAACAGTACCTTAGAGTTTTTAGAGGCTTCTCCGTCGAGAGCCTCACCGTTCCTTTTCTTAAGTACTTTAGTTGGCTGGTAAATCGAATTGAACCAGGAGGCAGATTCTTCTTCTCTGGCAGTGTGCAGCGTAGAGCAATCTCCTCTTTGAAGTGGTGCTGTATTAGATGCAGTAAAGGTAGATCGGTTTTGCGACTACTCCGTTGTCCCGTGCTGCTGGAGAACGGCGGTTGGAGATCGGAAGAAAGGAAATCGAGAATCATGATTACTCCGTTGATCTGTGCCATTGGCGGATGGCGATTGGAGATCGGAAGAAAGTGAATCGAAACTAACGACTACTCTGTTGATCCGTGCTGCTGGAGAATCATCCCATACACTTGTCCCCGAGCTCAAAGAGGCACCAATGACTCGTTCCAAAACAAGGAGACTGAGGGAAGGGTTCAATTTGGCCGTAGAAGCATTACTAAGCACCATGGAGTATGGAGATGCATTCAAAACCGGTTCACAAGAGCACTACATGCGAGACAATCCCAAAGGACCCGATTTAGACATAAAAGAAGATTTTGCGTGTTTGAGCCTCAAAGAGAGTCAGCCTTGACGAGAACAAGGTATGCATGTTTACTTGGAAGGAAATGGAGTTTGGAACACCAATAATCTCGAAGAGACCGCCTCGGAGCTTCAAGATACACCAATCTCAAGAATAGAAACCAATAGCAATCAAATGGAACAAGTGGAAGGTCTTGAAGCTGGACACGAGAAGAAACTCAAAGAACTCACAAGACACGACGTTAGCAGGACTCAAGACGAAGAAAACATCAAGACTAACAAGCTACATGGACCGGAATGCGACTTAACCAACTTCACACCAAGCAAGCCCACAACCGGCCATAACTAGGTATTTTCGATTTATACAATCTGTGCAGGTAACATGGAAGTATCCTAGTGGTGTCTAACACGCTAGAGAGCATCAGAGGTCCACGGAAAAAGTCCAGAAAAAGTTGCACGTAGTTAGTTTTTTTTCTTTTTATTTTCAAGTGAATTTTCCATTTTTGTGTCCAAATTAGACGCTTTGCCATTTTTGCTTTAATTCTTTTACAAGTCGTGTTTTTTTTAGTCTTTAGTGTCGTTTTTCTTGTTAAGTGTTGAACCCTAGAAGGTTCAAAGCTGAAAGACTATTTATAAAGTCCCACACGTAGCTGTTGTACTCAACTTTTACCCTATCAATAAAATAACGATGTTTTCCTCTTAGCTTGTGCTTGAGAGCCTTTTGCTTGTGTTCTTGCGTTTGAGATTCACCGAGAGATAAGTTTGCAGTATCAGAGATTCTCACATCATCTATGTGGTGCCATCGATCCATTTCACAACCATTCATTGATCCCTCAAGAGAGAGCGTCATAGCCAGCTTGACAGATCCCATCTCGATACAAGCCTTGTGGAAACAAGTCTTATCTTACCATCCCCATCCATTGATCCACACGAGAGAGCGTGAAAGCCAGTGTGTTGATCCCACCAAGCCATTGATTCCAAAATCTTATAAGCCTCACCCGAGTCTTATATCATTTTGGTATCAGAGCCAAAGGTTCCTGCCTTTGGTCTTCTATCTTTTACACTTGTAGTTTATTTGTTCGCACTCGTTTAGTTCTTTGAATTCATAAAACTGAAAACCCTAGAAAAATTTAGTTAGTTTGCTTGCGTATTCATTAGTCAAAAAAAGAAAAAGAAAAAGAATCCGTTGCATTGTTAGTTTAAAACCGTCGTCTTTAGTTTATTGCAACCCAAATTTTGAAAACCCTATATAAGTTATCTAGTTTTATCTAAGTGCCGAGTTCATCTATTTTAGTGCCTTTTTATTCGGTGGTACTTTTGACTTGTTTGTTGTTTTTTTTAGTACAAAGACATTTAAGTGAGTCTAGTTAACACCATGGCCGATGGAGAACCAGTTCCGAATGATGCTCTTGTTCAAATGATGACCGCAATGAGGGAAGATTTAAGGAACATAACTCAACAAATGGGTAACATTCGTCAAGAATTTGGAGCAATGATAGACCGAGTTGAAGCACAACCAAGGAGAGCCCCAGTTCGAAGGGCACAAATTCCAGCTGGTGATGCGAGTGATGATGAAGAGATGCCCGAGTTGGAGGATGATCTTCCACCCAATCCTCTTCAACATCGACAATAGAGGAGACCGGATCCTCTAAGGAGGAATCCAGCAAGGGTAGTAGATACTCGAGAGAAAACTCATGATCTTAAACTAACACCTCCTACTTTTTGCAGGAAAATCTGATCATGAAGCATACTTGGATTAGGAGAGGAGACTATAGCACATCTTTGAGTGCTATGGCTACACTGAACACAAGAAGGTGGCTGTTGCGGCAGCACAGCTCACTGACAATGCATTGGCGTGGTGGGACAGAAATGTGGCCGAGAGGAGAAGGCAACGTTTTGGACCGGTCATAACTTGGAGTGACATGAAATTCCTCTTACTTAAGTATGTACATGAACACTATCATAGATACTTACAAAAGCGTTTTCGCAAGTTGTCTCAGGGAGACAGGAGTGTAGATGAGTACTTTGAGGAATATGAGAAGCTGATGAACTCACTGGAGCTAGAAGAATCGGATAAGGCCTTAATGGCACAATTCATTGACGACTTGCAAGAGAGAATTGCAAGAAAGGTGGAGAGAGCTCAATACAGTGGATTGCACAAGTTGTTTCATCTTTCCGTACAAGTGGAGCAGCAGATCAAGCGCAAAACAACCCTCACCAACCGCAACCGTACGAATCAAACCTGGAACACCAGCAGCTCTAAACCCGTAGACAAGGGCAAAGCCGAAGAGATCGACTCAAGGTATAAAGGCAAAAATGTCGAGGCTCCCAAGTTCAACCGAGATGAGCCAGGTAAGTCATCTAACAATACTTCAAGAATTCGTGACATAACATGTT